AGAGAGAGAGAGAGAGAGAGAGAGAGAGAGAGAGAGAGAGAGAGAGAGAGAGAGAGAAAAGAAAAGAGAAAGGAAGGGAATATAGAATATAGAAGGCAGGGAAGCTGGGAAAGAAAAGGTTTTCAGTGTACCAAACGCTGAAAGGGAAAAGGGACTTTCTGCCCTAACCAAGAGGTGACAGAGGAGGAGGGAAAGAGGATGGAAGTGGAGGCAAGGAGGCCCAGGATAGAAGTCAGGCAACAACTGGGTACAACAGGTCCCGCCCCCTTCCGGGGTCTCCCAGACCCTGAAAACCCGTTCTCTTTACCTTCCCCATCTCCTCTGGACCAACTAGTTCCATCCTCAGCCGAACTGCTCCATCTCTTCTCCGCGACAGTGGAGGGGTTCCGGCTGCTGAACCCCCAGGCTCCACTTCTACCCTCAGAGAGGGTTGGGGCTGAGTACTATCTCCAGTCCCAGGCCCTGGGGGGCGTTGGTGGGGTGGAGAGGCCGACAGCGGGGGTGTCTCTACCTTGGCCTTGCCAGGCCCTGCCAGCTGGCCCAGCCCCCCTGTGAAGGAGCGGGCCTGTGGTCCAGGAGAAGTGGGGGGCGGGCGGAGCCAAGAGGTGGGGCCCTGAGACAGGCCTGGCTGTGGAATAGGGGTGCTTATGCCCAAGCTAGCCAGCTCCAACCTAGAATCCAATGATCTGCCTCCGGTGCCTCCTGAGGCCCCTCGAATTCCCTCCAGAAGCCGGCCGAAGCTTGGGGGCTCCAAGTCTCTCTCGTAAACATCCACACACGTCCACCGACCTCGACGATAAGGCTCTCCCAAGCCTTGGGGCAGCTTCACCACCCGGAAACGGGAGGCAGGGGCTCCAGGTGGCGGGGAGCCATTCCGGGGGGTGCCCCTGCCCCCTGGATCAGGGTTAGGTTCCCCATTGGGGAGGCGGGGCGGGGGCCCAGCGGGAGCTGGTGGGGCGGGGGGATCCGAAGCCCCTGGGCTTCCCGGGCCCTCATAGTCCGTGGTGACGCTGGTGATCTGGAAACTACTTTTCTTCTTACCACCGCTCATGGTCCCTGGGGCTCCGGACTAGGCTCGGGTGGGGGAGGGGCTCAGGCACCTCTGGAACAAGGGGGCCACATGGCAGGGGCATCGGGGCCCCTGGGGACGTCTGGGTCCGACATGGCAGGAGGGCCTTGTGGGAACTGGGGGTGCTTGGTTAGTGACTGGAGTACAGGGGAGGGGAGGTGGCGGGAGGGGGGAGGGGGCAGAGGCAGGTTTTTCCTGCTGCTGTGGCTGCCGAAACCCCAGAGCTGAGCTTGCAAACT